AAATCGCATGGCAACAGACAAACTCGCACATGATCCCAGAGTTTTCTCATGCAATGCTTGTGTGATATTTGTGACAAAAGCGACAACACCCAAGAACATCGTGCTGTTTGGCGATCGAACCATTTTTCACCCATTGTGTCTTGAAAGCATCCTCCCAAATTGGTCAAAGTCTCACCGTGCTCATTCGTCCACCACACTCCAAGCAAAATGATCAAAATGATCGATAGCAGTTTCCCTGTGTAAGTCACACACATGCTTCAAGCCTGGTAGTGTGCAAAATTATGTTGAGCACTCTAATTGATTAGATCTAAGAAACTGGTGATTGTAGCTGCAGTCGCTTTGACTATGCTACCGTGAGGCCAAAAATCAGAGACAACCCAAGGACAAATGCTTACACACATTGCACTGACGACAGAACATGATTGTTGAATACACACAGGGCCTCACTCCAAACCCCTAAGAAGAAAATGTTCGATAGATCGAAACAAATGGCCAAGCTCAGGACCGGTGCTTAGCGTCTGTTGGCCCCCGACCGATTCCAAGCAGCAATGGCCAGAGCTAAGCCCAGCCTGAGCGCGGCCACGCCCAAAAACAGATTGGATTGCAATTTGTGTTTTTGCGTGAACGCTTGTTACCAACTCGTAATATCTCAGCCCAACACGCTTGCGACACACCTCCATATTTTTTCCAGGCTAAGCTCACACCATGCTTTTTGTTCACCTGCAAAAGCTTGCGTTGCTAATGACCAATATGCTAGGCCGTTTTGGGAACCTGACCTCAACACTGAGCCCCCCTTTGGGCAGCCACTTCTTTTGCACGATCACCCGGCACCATGCTGATGTAGAACGCACCACACTTTGAACGGGCTTGTTCCAGCCTCGACCCAAAAAAACAACAAAGAAGCACACTTGATACCTCACTTGATATTAGGCGGCAAAAAGGTCTTGGTGACAGGCAAAACCCCAATTGAAGATGGCAGACCATAAGCATCACCACGAAGCTCTTCGGGCGGCTTGAGGGTGAACGACCTGATGTTGCAAGGGTTGGGGGGCGTTCAAACGTAAGTTCTCCGAGGTCCGAACTTTTCATTGGATACTTCTTTAGGAAATGTTCCAACCAGAATGGGATGGAAAGAAGCTGCCGTCACAAACGCCGAGAAATTATCTTCCTATGGCCAGCGGCAGCCATGAATACTTTTTTTTGAAATCAACTACTATTTGATCTTCAGGCTCAACAAAAATTGAGGGGCTCCTTGCAAGAACCGGCAGTCTCCTCCTTTTCTGGAAACTTCTCCGGAAGCTCTCGAGCCTCCGTCTCGGTGTCATTCTTTCTCTCACCACGTCCCTTAGGCTTCCTGGAAACCTTTTTTTGGCACAGCTGCGGACCCCCCACTCTCTACACCTTCCCCAGCCCCATTCTTCCTTTTCTTATTTTTGGTCTCACGATCCAGAGGCTCCTCAAAGTCCAAACGTCTCCGGACTGAGTCAGCCTTTGCGGCACGGCTCGAAGACTCAACCGCACTTTGGTGCCTTTTGGACTTGGCCTTCCGCAGCACCTGGCGGCCTTTGCACCGAGTTCGGGAACCTTTCAAAGATGATGGCTTGAACGGGCTAGGTGACTGGGCTTGGCTATCCTCAAAATGCTCGGGTCGAGGTTGGGATGGTGGGGGATCTACTTCCACTTCCGCCGGCTCCTCTCCCATGACCTGATCAGCCTCCGCTTCATTGCTTTCAGCTGGCTGCCCCTTTCTCCCACGCCCTTTTCCCCTTCCTTTCCCCCTTCCTTTTCCTTTTCCTTTTCCTCTCCCGCGCCCCTTCCCTTTGCGCTTTCCGTCCACTGCCTCCTCGTCATCTTTAAATGCTTTGTCAGGATCTTCTGCAGCAGCGTCAGCTTCGCGTGCGATTGCTCGAAGCTTTGCCTGCGCCTCCATCACTGTAAAGGGTCTTTGCGCACATGGCGTGTGCTCAAAATGATTTCGGCGCGTTTGATTTTACACACGCTTATTTTTTTTATATGTTCCCTCTAGTGTGCTCACAACAGTCTCGAAAATGGTCAATCTAGATCTAGCCTCCAACAGATCTTCACTCTCCTCGTTCTTAGCCACTGCCTCAATCTCAATTAGCTGCTGTTCGACCGCTGCTCTCAAAGACGGGTCCTGTGGAGGAAGCGGGCCCAAAGGCTTCCGGTCCTGGAACGGCACAATCTCGGGTCACAGATTGAAGTAGAATTACATGAACTAAAAGGGTTCAGTGCGGAAAAATACAGTAGACATGATCATACAGAACATTGGACAAGTGTGAAAGCTCCTTGTGCGCGCCTTTGCTTGTTGCCTTCTCATCTTCGCTATCCAAACACACTTCCTCAACCTTCACCTCTGGACCTTCCCCATTAGCAGTATCTGTAGGTTTCACTTCTTCTTGAGGTTCTTTCACGTTGACTTCTTCTTGAGGTTCTTTCACGTTGACTTCTTCTTGAGGTTCTTTCACTTGAGGAGTTTCTTCAGGTTCTTCACGTGGTGCAGGCTTACTCGACTCATCTTCAGGTGCGTCACTAGCAGGTAAGTCCAGAACACTGTGGAGCTTTACAACCACGCCAGTCCATTCCTCCGAGTCGAGACTGTCCTTTTGCCTTTCACTCACATCCCCACTCTCTGGATCGGCAGTGCTTGAAGCCGAGTCATGCAGAGTGTCCTCAACCTGAGTGTCCTCAATCTGAGTGTCCTCAAGCTGAGTGTCCTCAACCCGAACCTGAGAGTCCTCAACCTGAGTGTCCATCAACTGAGTCTCGGCCTCATCTACAGATTTGGCCTGCCGGAAACCAATCGATACGATATGCTATGCATGTCCAAATAGAAAACTCACGTCCCACCTTCTTGACCCCACGCCCCCTAGTAGGTTTCTTCTTGCCATTGTCCAAAAGCATCCCAGCAGCCTCCGCAGAGAGCTCAGGCTACACAACTTTCAAAACTCAAATTTATGGCAAACAAGTGATTCAATGTTTGACCAAACTAGGCACCTCCAGCTCAGTGCGGATGACCTCCTTGATCATAGCCATTCTCTCCGCACCAGCCCTGGAAGAGCGAACAACATTTGGGAGTTGCGACGCCCATTGTTCAGCGGCGACGCACATCCCCCAAATATGACCCAGCAAAATTAAAGCACAAAGAAGAAACAGCTCTCTTACCTGCCTGCAACCTTTGTTCCGCTGACTTCTTTCCATGCAATAGCTGCCCACGGATCGGACCAAATTCGCCTCTGTAGTAGCCCAATCCTGCAAGAGTAAAATTGAGGGGCAACAAGTTGAACCATATCCGGTAGCCCACCTGAACCTGAGCTGCGGAACGAAAGGGATTGAGTTTCCATTCTCGTTGGCACCACTTCAGTGCAGCCTGGAGTAGACACATCAGTCCAAACAAATTGAGATTACTTTGGGGAATACTTTGGCCCGCCTCAACCTCGACCTGGCGAGGTAGATCTGTACAAAAGCTTGCCATCCAGGTCATGGCAAATTCCCAGTTTGGGCTTTGCTGCACCTGGCTAGAATGGTCATGGGGTCTGAGGTGAAAAGAAGCTGAAGCATAGAAGAGATGGACAGCCAAGGCGGGGTGTCAACCGGTCAGTTGATTGGGCCTCGACCTCGCTCAGCATTTCACTGTCCAAGATCAAAAAGGTAAATTTTGGCACCTGAGAGGTGTGCATGAAGCTCCCCTCAATTCAATTGGTTTTGCAGTAGACTGATTGGTTATATAATCGAATCATTTGAGCTGAGTCTGAGTTTTCTAACCTTGCGATGCTTGTCTTTCTCTGCAATTCCTGCTCGTTGGCGAAGAAGTTTTCGACGATCCTCTATGAAGTTCTCCGCGCCCAGGAGTTCTCCGAAGAAGGCCTGCGGAAGTGCAAGGTGATTCTCCTGAGAGGAGATAGTGGGCTGCCGGCCTTCAAGAGTTCCAGGCGATCTGGATCGATCCGCTTAGGTGTGCCCGACATGGCAAGCGGGCCAGCCAACTAAGTCTTGCAGATCAAGGCTGTGATCACTGAGCTAAAACAGACCAGCACCACAAGAACAATAATGGGGAAATGAAGACAGTGCAAAAGGCCAGCAGCAAACATGAACAAATGGCTGGGCCTGTGGTACCCACTTCGATGATGTCATCACCGTCATGTATCTCCAAGGCACCTTGAAAAAGGGGGTGGGTAGAATAGGCATGTTCTTTTGACAATGTACTGTAGTGATCCTGGTTGGCTTTTGGGGGCAGATCACTTAATTAACATCAAAAAGTAAGGGCGGCACGCTTCCTGAGTGCCTTTCGCATCGAAGGCAAAATTCAAGCCTCGCCTCATCAGCTTTGGGAATTGTTAAAGAACTTTGGAAATCACACACTGTGGCACAAATCTCAGCTGCCAAGTGCTGATGAGTCACCATGGTTGGCCCTTCAAGGCCGTTCAGGAAATAGATCAGAGCCAAGATGCCCAGCTCTGCCGGAAAAGAACAAGAGAAGGGTGGAGGGATATGGAGGGATGGTCCAGGATGATTTTTTGTGGTGTTTCTTTCAACTTGTCCACCATGGTCCCAGCATGATGTAGCAAGAGTGTCCCTTCTTCATGTGAAATAGTCGTTACCAAGATAATATAGTCCTGCCCCCTAGCCTATTCTTTTTATAGGCTTCGAAGCCCAGGGTATATATATATATATAGCTCCATTAAACACGCCGCCCTTGAATCGTCGCACAACACTTTTCCTGCACTTGACGCTTCAATGATCTGATGACTCAGCTGACACGGAAAATGTTGTATATTGCCAGCTGGTCACAAAGGTTCAAGCGAGCCACACATCAAGAAGTGAACTGGTCTTTTTGAAAGACCTTCAAGACCCTCACGGGGAATCTTTGCGTTGTTCCATGCTTTTGTTCACGGAAACCGTCGCATCTTTCGACTTCATCGCCGGTGCTGTGCTTCGGCGCGGCGTCTTCGGCTTTTCAAATCCGCGCCTCTGCTCCAGAGTCATCGTTGCTGTGGGGCTCGTGCCAAGGCTTCTCTCACATCCATATCCACCTAAGCTATGACCAGGGGGTGAACTCGACTTCCATGTTGAGGACTCGGAGTGTACTACCAGCTATCTCCTCTTTTAGTCGGGCGCTCTGAGACTGTGCCCGAAAAAGCAACTGCGCCGAGGCACGTATTCGTCAAAGGGGCTCTGCATGGGCACAAGGGCAGGATCTGCCCGGTAGGCCAAAAGAAGCTTCACCACCTTGTTTCACCAACGCGGAAATTGGCCACGAACCTCTGGCACCCAGTAGAAACCATGACCAAATCTATCAGACTTGCAGTCGAGGTTTTATCTCTCTCTTTCTCTCTAATCTATCTATCTATTTATCTGGCTATCAATCAATCAATCAATCAAATCAAATCAAATCAATCAATCAATCAATCAATTAATTAATCAAATCAATCAATCAATCAATGTATTTATATATCTATCCATCTTTCTTTTTTCTTTTACATTGAGACATCGCCTGGAGAGCCACCGAAACGGAAAGCATATAATATCTTGAGATCACTGGCCTCCTAGATGTCCTTTTCATCTAAATGTGCGCACTTGAACAACAAGGTGCATGTCAAAACTGATCACATTTCTACCCCGGATCAAAACTCTACTCTTACCAAGATCAGTCATCCCGCACAACAGGTGAAAGAAGAACACGTGCTTGGTGGGCATCGATGGATTGCAAGAAGTATCCTTGCAAAGATTGGTTGGTCCAATAGCATTGTTCTACTAACACAGGAGAACGTACAATAAACACATTATTATTCCACAAGACAGAAGATCCATTCCGTGGCATCCTCCACGTTGTGCTTGGCCCACCTCCAAGGGCGCCGCGTCCGCTCGCACCGCACACAGCAAGGGCGAGGTCCCATCGGACGAGACCGCGTTGGGCGAGGCACGTGCCTGGCGCCGTTGAAGGTGAGGTCACCCTCTCACTCAGAACCCCTTCAATCCGTTTGATAAGGAATATGATTGCTTTGACTATTGCATATCAGAGAGGAATGGGGAGGCGTTCCCACACAACGATACAAAATCTTCTATACCCAAGCGTTTCCAGTTGGCCCCCTCTGGCGTTCGGCCGAATTGGCCCTCCTCCCAACGCTCACCTTGCTACTGAATGTCGCTACAAAATGTCTGTTTAAGCATGTTCCCCAAGCAGTATCGACATACACACTATATAAAGTATATGCAGTATATATTGTATATAAAATGCATATACACTGTATGTAATGACAGGCTCAAGCCACAAGTGCTTCTAGCAGGCTCTTTGTGCTCTTGAAGCATCTTTCTGCACCTGGACGAATATCCTCCAACAGCTTCCTTCCCAATTCGACCTCTGCCCATCTCTGCCCTGCCCTTTCCAACATCTGAGATGGACCTCCAAGAGGATGCGGCAATCCTCGCAGTTCCCCAGTTGCGCCGACCACATCAACGCGTCCCAGCCATCCGCACTGCGGGCCTCCGGTGAAGCGACACAAAGAGATCGTATACCATTGAAACAACCATTTGGACACAATTCGATGCAATTCTGCCACCAAACTCTCCCAGTGAACATCCATATCACTACCCAACTACAGTATACTGTAACCTGATGCGGCACCTCGGGCTGCGCCCGTTGCTGCAGCAAGGCCCGCAGCAACTGGGTCCGGCGCGTCGCCGGCGCGCGGCGGTTGCCGGCGGCTGCGACCAGGGCCGGGCGCCCCATGGCGTCCGGAGCCCACAGCTCGACCACCCTGGGACCATCTGGGCGGTTGGAACCCCAAAACTCCATCGTTTTGGAGAACGATGCAATGAACGCTCACCGTTCAAAAAGGAGGTTTCCACCTCCTAAGGTGCCAGAACTAGAGATGATTCCAACATATATGGGTGTGGCCAGAAACCCTGGTATGGATCGTTCCGCGCTGCACCGAGTGTGATCCAAACCCTATGGATCAGAGCGCTGATCCAAGCCCTATGGATCAAACCGACAAGTCACTTGATCCAAGCCCCCGATATGAACACATCTGCATGGTGGCGCTCCACCCCTCCACTTTCTCACCAGTTCACTGTGAAGGTGGTGGCTTCCACGATCAAAGCCATCCTGTTTGTGGCAAGCCTGTTTTGAAGTACTGGCCGCCGCTGAATTCATTGGGCTCCACAGTCCACATATTGGGCCATGGTTGGGTAGAGTGGGTGGTAATGGGCGCTGATTCACTCTTGGGCTAACAAGAGGCCTTGCGGATTAAAGTTTTCGAGGTCCACTGACCTCATTTCTCCACCCCTTGTTTTGGCTCAAGAAGACGATACAAGAAGCCCAGAAAGGCCATTAGCTAGCCACGCAAATGGGTGATTCAGTCGGCTCTCAAGTCATTTAATAGGTGGTGGCTTAACAGCTCCCTAGACTGGAGGCTCACTCCGAACACTGGTTAGTGGCTGCCGCTAATTCTGTTCTTGTCTTCTGGCACCTTCTTCAATATGGTCTAGTTGGGTTGGCTCTTCCACTCAGAGGCTTCCATAGCTTAATTGTTAAAGCGTTGGCCTTCAATTCTCTACTTCCACTGTGTCAGGGTTCGAGTCGCGGCTGCGACCGCACTTAGCAGATTCCGTTAAGGCTTTGCCAGAATGGGAAATCAACTTGAAGTTGAATCTAGTGGCTTCCGCTAAATCTGTGGTGGTGGTAATACTAGTGGTAGTAGTGAGTAGCAGTAGCAGCAGTAGAGCAGTTGTAGTAGTAGCAGTTGTGGTAGCAACTGTAGTGGCAGTAGCAGTGTAGGAGTGGTGGCAGTAACAACAGTAGTAGCAGCAGAGGTAGTAGTAGTAGTAGTAGTAGTAGTAGTTGTTGTTGTTGTTGTTGTTGTTGTTGTTGTGGCAGCAGTAGCACCAGTAGTTGTGTGATCCAGCCCTTGGATCACACACCCACCTTTTGATCCATACCCTATGGATCGAGGTATGGATCGTGTGTGGGTTTGGGTGTGTGATCCAAGCCTTATGTTTCTGGCCGTAGCCATATATATATATATATATATTGGCTTGATATGGCCTGTGGCGGCATGGGAGTGGCATCCATAGAATACGCGAAATCGAGAGTGGCCATAGAGTCCCGATTGTTTTGGCTACGATCAAAGGCCAGCAGCTGGTTGAATTGCAGGAGATAGATGGAAGACCCCATAAAGTCACCCCCAATCATGTCGGAACGGGGAAGACCATGGAACAGCTACACCTGGTGTCCGGCAAAGCCTCTTATCGCAAGTCAACAGGTAGTCCAGGTGGTGGCCCGCACATGCGGGAGTTGACAAGAAGCCTGGCTTATTCACACCATTTCATACCCGTGTGGATTTCAGGGTGGTTGGGTGCTCCAGCTCTACAGAATAGCGACCCACATCGACCGGTTTGTTTTCAGGACCTTCCAGGATCCAAATTCGAGATGTTCCAATATTCTTCACTGACCGGTTGTATGTCTGTAGGTCATGGCAGGATACGAACCGGTTGACCGGATCAGGTGTCCGTCGTTCGCTTTCGCTACAGTGGACGAGGGCTTCAGGTTTTCACATGTTTTCACCTCCCATATTCTCATGGACGCATGGACCCTGAAAACCACTGGTCTCGACTCGAGCAAAAAAAAAGACTCGCCCTTCGACCGGCCTTCCGGCCAAGGCTGCCACAGCAGCGGCGCGCCGCATGGCACTCGCCACCTGGCGACCCCACCAGGAGACGATGGTGTGGTACCCGGTCGCTTCAGAGTGCAAGATAAACACAAGTTTATATAATGAATTCTATACAAACGAAACGGTCCATGTATGG